GCTAACAGACACATTTCCACCACTCATGGACCACACCCACCTTTTCTTTGAAAAACTGGGTGACATACTGTCGCCCTTTAGTCCCTCTCTCTTGTCTTTCTCTCCTTTCTTTTCTCTTTTGAAAGCCTGACTTTGTTAGTCGTTGAGACATGGTTCACATGTAAGTACTAGCATCCCTGCTCACATGCTCTCACTCTCTGCTAGAAAGTGCTGGCGTTGCTGCACCGCGTTTGGAGGCAGGACCAAACCATTACATGTAAATAGAGGGGGGTGTTCAGAGACTTTGGATAATTAACTTTTGGAAGAAAATAAGTTAAATGAATTGTACGTTTAGTGAGTACATTATCAATATAACGTTATATTAATGTTAATTCTTGATGAAAGGTTACTTAAACATTTTTTTCTTAATGTTCTAAAATTGTTTGGGCCCCCGTGGTGTGGGGGGGTGCCACTCCCAGCCACCCCCCAGCTCCGCCACTGGTCATAGAGCCAAAACATTTCAAGTGCTACTCAACTGGATTTAGATAAGCCAGTCCTTTGTTAGTATATAAGTGCTTTGATAGTAATTGTATTGCTCGAAGTGGAGTCAATACATTCATATAGCTCTCTTCTGTAGCAAGACAATTGGCTAGTGCCGTAATTGATTCACAGTACAAGTAATAGTGCAAGTAATAGTAGTGATGGGATTTAAAACCAACCTCACATTTGATATACTTACACTTATTAAAACAGAATGTAATGACTGTTCTGTGCAGGTGGAGGGGGAGGTGGAGGTGGTCGGGGTCGTGAGACTGACGGAGATTCGTAAACCCTTCGTACCAAGCAACGACGTGAAGAGGAACCAATGGCACTACCGCGACCTGGAGGCCATGGGCGGGGTCACCGGGGCCGAGCCCGTCTTCATCGATGCATCCTTCGGTAAGAACTACTAAGACCAGGATGCACTTTGACTCAATTAGATTATATTAAATATACGGGTGGTTATTAACTTGGACGTTATTATACCACAGAATAGAGATTTTTTAAACCTGATTGCTTAAATAAATGTAAATATTCATTTATCATGCAGAGACCACTATACCTGGTGGACCAATAGGAGGACAGACCAGAATTACACTGAGGAACGAACACATGCAGTACATAGTAACATGGTAGGTCCTAAATCCTGTCTCTAAAGCTACTGTACTGTAAATAATCCTGTTTACTGAGTTTGGTCTATTTCTCCTCTTAGGTACGGCTTGTGTGCAGCGACCTCCTACATGTGGTTTGCAAAGTTCATCAAGAAACTGTGATTAAATGCAGTGATTGCAAAGCACATTTCTGATGTACTTGATGTGTACTGTGTCAGCTGAAGCCCACTGCATAGACTCGCTGATGGATTTGTAAATAGTTGTGTATTATTCTCCTGAAACAATAAATTCAAATCTAAGTCATCTCTTGCATTCTTCATGTTAACAACTTGTTTTCATTAACTGATGGAGACACTCAAAGTTTAATATTCCTTAAAATAGAACACATTTTCTGCAGTAGTTTTAAAGTTAACAGGAGAGATATTCACAAATCCAACGACAATTAGGAAACAGCTGGTAGCCTCACATTCAACAGGACATCTTAGATCAGTGGTTCTCAACTGGTCAGGCCTCGGGACCCACTTTTTCCTTTGTCAATAGATCACGACCCGAAATGTCGAACCACTCAAATCTATTCAACAAAAATTGTGCTGTAATATATACGCTTTTCGGCATACAATATTAATTAAAGTGAAATACAGTGCATCCCTTATATCCCTTCACAGAACTAAAGTATGTTTAAAAAAAGGTTTAATGAGATGATGGAATCAAAGCTGAACAATATAAAAAAAGCACACATGCTGAAAACCCATCCCCAGAAGGGGGGTCTGGGGGGATTCTCCCCTGGAGATTTTTAGAAATACTAAGATATAAACTACACATTCTGGAACACTCTGAGAAGAAAATAAATAAATCTATTACTACCCGACATATTAATAATATTGATGTCATTGTTTGTTTGTCACTTTGTTCTGACAGCTTGCTGCTCCTCACAGAGAGAAGAGCAAAGGGGAGGTAGTCCGTGTGACTCACTTTAAATTGTGGGTAAGGGTAGATAGCTCCCATTGTTCTGTGACCTGTCAATCATCAAACCGAGGGTCATATTTCATGATGTGTTCATTTGTATCTGAAGTTGTACCCATGGATGTATAAAGAGTAGTTCTACCGCAAAGTTATTCTCCGTGGGGACTTCCGGCAACAATCTTGATTCTGATTGGCCAGAAGACTGAAAAACCTTCAGCAAAGATGTTTCATTGAGAAGATGATCACTACGTTACAGACGTTTTCAAAACCGTTTATGGTCTCCGGTACTTCCAGTCCAACGCCTACTGCATGCACAGCGTTAGAAAATCGGGCCTTTAAAAAAAAAAAAAAGATTTAAATTTTTTTTTTTATTCACTCACATCTGCGACCCACCAGTTGAGAACCACTGTCTTAGAGGACATGTTTTTAAGACATAGGATTTCATGCAGTATGGAATTTAAGTCATGTCATTTCTAGGTATGAAAAAATATACTGTTATAAAGATTATTCCTGGTGTTTAGAAAACATGTATTCAGAATTGTAATATATCATACAAGCAGTGTTTATATCCCTTCTGTTAGAGTAAGGATTAAAGTATGACATTATTTTAATCAACTTTACAATTTGATATGCAATACATTTACTTTACACTCCTAATTGCAGCTAAATCTAAACAGTACTTTCCCAACATTCACAAAAATTAATTTAGGGAAGCACTTTGATTCCAAAATACTGAATATTCAAATGACAGACACGTTATCTTTTATTTCAAAACAATTGAACTAATGCTGTCAAAATTATCGCGTTAACGGCGGTAATTAATTTTTGGAATGAATTGTGTTAAAATATTTAATGCATTTAACGCATGCGCAGAATGGCCCGCCCCATACATCCCACCAGTGGGAGCGCCAGGGTATGGCTGGGGTAGGCTACAGCCATACCAAGAAATGGCTTAGCCCCACCATGAAAAATGGTGTTAAACTAAGCCAAATAAAGTCCGCCAACTCGCGGAGTAAATTGCACAGACAGCGGTAAGATTGATTTCAGTAGCCACTTGTCTGGAAATACCGAAGACCAGAAACGTTTTTGAAAACTTTTGTCGCGTAGTGATCGACTTCTCAATAAAACATCTTTGATCATGTCTTCTGGCCAATCAGAATCAAGATAACGGCGTGGTGTTGTTGCAGGAAGTCCCGACGGAGAATACTTTTGCTGTCTATATACATCGATACAACATTACGTGTTGATAGAAATCAACACGTAATGAAATAAGACCCCACGGTTTGATGATTGATAGGTGTGTGGGCTGTCTTTCATTTTGACACACAGAACAATGGGGGCTATCCACCCTTATCCAAATGTAAATTAGCCTAATTCACACAGCCTCTTCCCTCTTCTCTCTGTGAGAGGAGCAGCAGGTTCAGCTTTCAGAACAAAGTAACAAAAAACAATGGCATTCATTTCTTTGAATGTGTCGTGTAGTAATAGATTTATTTATTTTTCTTCTCAAGATGTACCAGAATGTGTATTTTATGTTAGTATTTCTAAGCCACTGAACAAAGCACTCGAGAAGTCAT